GGGAGGACGTTTTGGAAACCGAGAAAAGAAACACGGGGTATTCCCTTGGAGGCGGAAAAAGAGTAACTGCCATAGCATAAGGGAGACCTTCTGCCTCTTTGAGGCAACGGATTTCACGTCATTTAAGTAGACCTGGCAACGGCGGGAGTACGAAGGGTAAGCTTCATTACAATTAAGGAAAGATGGAGGTTGACTGCAAGATGTATTAGAATGGTCGTCGGCACCACAGACTGGGCATTCGGCCATAGATCTGCAGTATTTCGCTGGGTGACCAAAAACGCCAGCAATTTCTACATTGTTGCGGTGTAGGTATCACCTTTCGAACTTGTAACCGATGTCCCGCGACATATACAGAGGACGGGAGTTCTCGGCTGTCAAAAGTTAAACGAGCCACATTGCAAGGGTTAACATCTCCGCCCCCGGGCAGGAAGGACATAAGTGTCTACTTTGAGGATTGGGAGATCCTGGAGTTCCAGCTGTTCAAAAATGTCATTGCCACATGACTGGAAATTCTGTTGGACTATGGTATGGGGCAGAATGACAGTACCACTACAAGAATTGAGAGAAAGATGTTTTTCAATAGTGATAGGAGTAGTATCGATATTGGGGGGGAGGGATGGAAAGTATTCAGGCTTAGTTCAGGGAACTGGAGCACATACAATTCCCTAGATCAAGAACCCCTCACCAACCTCAAAGAACCTCCCTTGAGGGGTGTTCCAATAAAATCTTTGCATACTGTGTCTTCATACCTATTGTTAATCATTTGTTTCAAGTGTCATTAAATTTCTATATTAGTGTTATTATTATTTATTTTTATTAACACATTGGCCATCTCCCAGCAAGGCAGGGTGGCCTGAAAAAGAAAAACTTTCACTATCATTCCCTCCATCACTGTCTTGCCAGAGGCACGCTTACACTACAGTTATAAAACTGCAACATTAACACGCCTCCTTCGGAGTGCAGGCACTGTACTTCCCATCTCCAGGACTCAACTCCTGCATGCCGGTTTCCCTGAATCCATTCATAAATGTTACCTTGCTTACACTCCAGCTGCACGTCAAGTCCTAAAAACCATTTCCCTCTATTCACTCCTAACACGCTCACACATGCTTGCTGGAAGTCCAAGCCCCTCTCACACATGTCTGAACCACCTATTATTATAATCAGAACTAAGTGCTAAACCCACAAGGGTCATACAGCACTGTCTAATTTCTACATTCATGATATTAAGCATGTTGCTGCATTTTAATAGTTTCTCAAACCTTTGTAGTGTCAAAAGTCATATTACTTTTTTTTCCATCAGATGGTTGTATCCCACCGAGGCAGGGTGACCTAAAAAGAAAAAACAAAAGTTTTTTTAATTATTATAAAAAAAGAAACACTAAACCTACAAAGGTCATACAGCACAGCAGGGCAGGGTGCAGGGGTATTGGGTCATGCAGTGCAGAGTTTTTTAAATTTAATAATATTTTGGGTTATAAAGTGCAATATTCTCTGTACTCTCCACACAATGTTACTCAATTTCTATAATTCTCATTTACTTTTAAATACTCAGTATATGCAGGTTTTATTTTCACATAGAGTATCAATTTAATATTTTAATGCCATTGTTTTATTCTTTTTTAAGGAAGAAGCAGATCTTTCAGATGTATCATTAGGCCCCAACCCTCTGCCAGAGTTAGCACACTTGGTGATAGGCATAGAGTCTGTGAGCCACCAGCACGATGACTTTGTCACATCTTGTGTGCTCAACATGATGATGGGAGGTGGCGGCAGCTTCAGTGCAGGTGGCCCAGGCAAGGGCATGTATACCCGCTTGTACACCAATGTCCTTAACAGGTAAAGGAACTTTAAATGTGTATAATGTTTATTATTTGGAAAATTTTGTAAGATATATTTAGGCAGGCATTTGTGTATAAGCATGCCTCTGGCAAGGCAGTGAATGATGAAAGTTTTTCTTTTTCAGGCCACCCTGCCTTGGTGGGGAAACGGCTGACATGTTAATAAAAAAAAATATTAGATAGTGAATGGAGATAAATAGTTTTTTGGGACTGACGAGCAGGGTAATTATTTGTGAAGGGGATTCAGGGAAACCGGTTAGCTGAACTAGAGTCCTGGAGGTGGGAATTACAGTAGTCCCACCCCTCTCCCCCCTGTAATCATGGGTAGACACTCCAAGACCTACCATGGATACCTGAAACTGTGGATAGTAGCAAACTATGTATGTCATTTTTAGTTTACATACATACCTATGATAAAGCTTAATCAATAATTTATTTTGCATAAGTCAAGAATTAACACTTTTTTTTACTGATGGGAAGCATTTCATAATTTCACGACTTCTTTTAGGCTTTGAAGAACTGCCAGCATCACTATTTAGTGCTTTGGGGCCATTATTAAGCAGAATTAAGGGTTATTTTTGAGTCACAGTAAACCGTGGGTAACTGAAACCCCTGATAACAAATCCATGGATACGGGTTCCACTGTACATTGCCTTCACTTTAAAGGAGAGGTTTGGGATAACGGCTGTTTGGGGCGAGATCTAAACTGTTGTATCTGCGCGCCTCTGTAAAGACAGTGATCATATGTGAATGATGGTGAAAGTTTTTATTTTTTGGGTCGCCCTGCCTCGGTGGAATTTTACATGCTTTGAGATTCAAGTCTTGTTATAATTTCCTCCTCAATTTATTAACACGGCTGAAAAATGCCTAGGAAGGGATATGAAAAGATGATCTATATTATTTCTTTTATAGATTAGGTGTATTGTTAATTTTCTTTTTCAGATATCATTGGATGCACAATGCTACTGCTTATAATCATGCATATAGTGACAGTGGTGTGTTTTGCATTCATGCCTCTGCTCACCCCTCACACCTTGGAGAACTCACACAAGTTCTTACTAGAGAGTTTGCTGCTATGGCTGGGTATACAAGTAAGGAAGAACTCGAGGTCAGTATGACATGGTTTTTTTGCAAATCTGTAATTGTATATTCCTTTTATGTTCATGGCCCAAAATTTGTCCCGATTTTCCACAAAATTTCATTCTTAATATTTTCAACGTCATTTTTTCTTTGGGGTTTTACCCAGCAAGGTGCGTGAGCGTGTTAGATAGGGGGAATGGGACAATGGTACGGGGACCTGCATCGTTGGAGTGTGAGCGGGGTAATATTTTAGTGAAGGATTCGGGGAAACCGGTTATTTTCATATATGGGACTTAGTCCTGAAAGGGGAAAGTACAATCCCTGCCTTTTAAAAGGGGGGGTTTTGGGGATATTGGCATTTGGAGGGATATTTGTGTATTTTTATATTGTTGCTTTGACTTTTTGTTTTCTGAGCACCTCTGCAAAAACAGTGATAATGTGCGAGTGTGGTGAAAGTGTTGAATGATATGAAAGTATTTTTTTTTGGGGGGATTTTTTTTTTTTTTGGGCCCCCTGCCTCGGGGGAAAAACCCACTTGTTGAGAAAAAAAAAAAAAAAAAATCTCAAATTCCCGCTAAATCATTTAGCTTTGAAGGGGGCATGCCATGTTTTTAAACCAACATTCAATTATTAGTCTAATTGAAAAAGGGCCCCCAGATTGGGTAGTCATTCAAAATTTTAAACCTTTGTAGAAGTTCTTTATAATTTTTTAGTGCTTCATCTATTTACTCAGCTTACATCTCATTTTGATCTTTTCATGTCACCATCTGTTTGTTTATCCGGTGTTTTAGATGTGACCATATCAAACCCCTCCCCTTGTTTTCTCCAGGGGTGCAATGTGAGGTTATTAGGCTTTCCCCTTATTGCAAATTTCCTTTCAGTTCCAAAACCATTTGGGTTTGAAAACCTAATTTTTTCTAGTGTCACTTTTAAAAAACTTTTTTTCTTGCAGAGGGTGAATCCCCAAGGGGGAAATTTTAATAAGGCTTTCAAAATTCCAAAAATTGTTTAAAATTAAGAATTGTCGGTTTTCGAGCACAGAGCTGCTTTTACCCACGTTAAAAAGGTTTTTCTGCATATCCAACCTGGTCTTTATAGGGGAAAAGATTATGAATACTGTAAATTAATAGATGCTTATATTTTTAAAAAAATTTGAAACTTCTTTTATGAAATTTAGACAGTTTTATCCTCAAGGGCAAAGTACAATTTCAGTCAATGTTACAAATGAATCAAGGGGCCGCCTGTAGTATTGAAGACATTGGGCGACGGGTATAGTACGGGAAAAAGCTTCACCCTCAAATTTTATCTCTTATTAGAATTTTCTGAAAAGTAAAATAGTGTAAAATTATTATTTTTATTATTATTATAAATAAAGGGGGGAAGGCTAAACCCGGGGATTATACAGCGCCTGGGGGGGGGGATATGGGAAAGGGCATTCAGGTTTAATTGGGGGGAACTGAGAAACCCCAATTCCCAAAATCAAGGCCCCTCAAACATAAAGGGAACCTTCCTTGGGGGGTTTAAAATAGTGTAGCCTGAGGCTAGTATATTTTGGTACAAAAAAAAGGGAAATGGTTTAAGTAGCGTGTTTTTGGTATATTTAAAAAGGGAATTTGGGAATTTGAGAATTGAAATTTTAATTTTTTTTTTTAAAGCTTTGATTAGTTTTGTGGAGGGGAGGGTCCCCGGCAAAATTTTAATTTATCAAGTAAAAAAAGTTTTGATAGCTTTGATGTCCCCTTTAATGAGAGAACAATTTTTATCCATACTAAAATTTTCCCTTTTCCAAAAAGGGGAAATAAGTGACATCATGCGGTAGCAGGACAAATGCTGCGCGTAAAACCTGCATAGCACCCCTGGGAACCCTTAGCCGTCACCAAACTTAACAATATCGAAGGCGCCCTATTACATCGCAATGGACATTTCCCCATCAAAAAGAAAATTTTTCTCTTTTCCGAAAATTTTTATAAAATTAAATAATTAAATTTCCCCTTTTGTACTTATTTTCCAGTACATTTTTAATTTTGATGACAGAATTCTAAGCTTCTGGGGTACAACTACATCATAGTTAATCTATATTCACTTTAATTTATGCAATTTTTTTATTAAGTGTTTTTCAAAAAAACAATCCCATTTGGGGTAGTATGGGCTAATTTCAATTTTTATTTGTAATATGTTCATTTGAATAAACAATCTCCCAAAAATTTACAGTAACCCTTGTTGAGGGGGGGCATTTTGGAAAATTTAGGGCTTTAAAGAACAAAATATAATTAAGAGAAACCCAAAATACACCGAAGTTTCCCTCTTCCTTTAGTCAAATTCCCTAACCAGCGATACCCTTTGTGGCTAGCGCTTTTTTTTTTATTATAATATAAAAATCCCAAGTTTTTGGGTTGTCCTTGCATCATAGTTGACTGGGGGGATCTAATCTCCAAGATACACAAAGATCACATTGGGATTTGCCCAGACATAGGGGAAGGCATTCTTCTCAAAAGGGGACCATTCAGCTTTTTAAATTGATATTAAGTCTGAAATAAAGGAACACATTTTCAATCTCAACACCCGCATGCCCCTTTTTGGTTTGCACTTCAACTGATTATAACAAACCCCCAAGGGTTTATGGATCCCCCTTTATTTCTGAAAAAAATCTTTTTTAGTTCTTTTAAGCTATCAGGTTGAGTAAACAACTACCACTTTTTTTTTTGGCCTTAAGGGGGGTGCTGTGGTTATTATTTTTATAATCAAGGGGAAACGCTAAACCGGGGGATTATCAGCCTGGGGGGGGGGGTGGGGGGCATTTAGGCTTTAAATTTGGGGAACGGAACACAGATCCAATTCCCAAAAACAAAAACCCCACCAACACAAAACCCTTTCCTTGGGGAGGGGCTGTGGAAAACTCCTTGTTTTCCCTTTTCCCCCAAACCGGGGGGCACAGAAAATGCCTCCCACATCGCCCCATCGCTCTTACTAGTGCAGTTTTCAAAGTTATGGAACTCTCGTAAACGACGTTTAATGTGGTATTTAGAGACCACAACGTCTCTCCGCTAGTCAAAAGGCTTTCGTAAGGGTCTTTTTACCATAGACCCCCCTTTCTACTCTTGGATACGTATGTTCGAATGCCTTTGCGAAAAATCACTCAGTTTTGCAATATTTTTTTACCTTTAAGGCAATACCAACTTGGAGGGTTTAAAATTTTTTTCCCAGGCCCCTTTCCCTTTGGCCCCCAGGGAATCTACCATCCCTTTTTTAAGAATTTTTAACTGACGACTTTTCCCTGTTCGAGCAAAAGTTTTCCCCCCACTTCCCAAGCGAAGGTTCCCTCAGGGGTTGTTCTAACAGAACACTTTTTCTCCTTCTAAAATGATTGGCCCCTGTTCTTTCCCCCAAATTTGGTCACACTCTATTTATGACTTTCGTATTGCTTGTGCAGGGGCGACTGTCCTTATTGCAGTTTCTCTCCAGCATGCGTCGACCGGTTTTTCCCCTTGGGGGACCATGCATGGGGTTTAAAATTTTTAAGTACCAAAAAATCACCAAATTACTTTCCACTAGACCCTGTTATCCTGATCATCCTTTGTATTCTATGGCTCCCGTATCCCCCAACGGGAAAAGTCAGGGTTTCTAGGCCTTCCTTTGACCTCGGGTTATCCCGGGAAAACCCCACATAACCTCTCTAAGGCAACTGTCACAGCCGGCTAAACCCTTTTAAAACCCCTTTCTCACTTTCTGGGACTGATCGCAATCTGCTTCGCCCACATTCAGCCCCTTTTTTTATCGAAACTCGATTATGGTGACCAATTTAATTTTGGGCCCCCCTGCTACTCCTTAGCCTTTAAACCCTTTCCCTCCCAAAGGATTACGTTTTTCCTTGGGCTTTTCGTCTTCCCCGTTAGAGCCTCTAACAGAAGCGAATGTTCCATCCTTTCGATCGCCGTGTGCCCATTGCTTGATATGTACGCCTTTCCCATCTACCAACCTTTCCCTTTATAGAATGGTCATCGATATTTGTAGACATTCTTTATTTGTTCGCCGTCCCGTTTGTCCATCCCCTTTTCTCTTCCCTACATTCACTCTTGTCTTCCCTTCAGTTACCACCTTATATGTTCATGAGCATCTCACTTTTTTCCCCCCACCCCCCTGAATTCCCGCTTTTCGGGCGTTTTTTCTCACTCCCCTTCTCAAAAACTCAACTGCCTACGGTGGCTTCCCGCTCTCTTTTTCTTGATCACTTCCATCCCTTCTCATGCCCCCGTTTGTACCAGATGGCCTAATCTTTAACGGGGTCATTCGCAGCGTGTTTCCCCGGGCAGCGTCGTTCGGGGAATTTACTATCTTCAGCTAGCATTTTTCTGCTAACTGATGCCTTCTTTCACACTTATCGATCCCATCTATGCCTGTGTCACATTTGAGAGTCTCAGACTCCCTTTGTGCCTACGGCTAACAAAATTTGATACATCTCATCCCCCATTCTCCCATCCAATTTTGGTATGCCGTTCCAAACCCAAAAAAAGATAAATTTTTTTTTGTTGGGCCCTGGTCATGTCGACGTACAGGGCAATGAACAGGGAGACACGCCCTCGGGCAGCATAATGACCTACCAATTTCCTATCGAGGTGTTCCATTCTGGGCTTTTTGCTGCAATAGACCCACCCTTTCCCCCCGTGGCAACAAAATTGGTCAACTCTGCTCGGGAAAAACTCATTCTATTAAACCGAGCAAGGGTTTCTGGCCGTTTCTTTTTCAATCCAGGTGGGAGCCACCTTTTTCCCGCCTTCGCATTGGGCCACCCTCTTACTCATGGGGATCTCAGGGGGCATCCTGTTCCTCTCTGGACGTGCAAGTTCCGTATCGATTAGCCACATTTTGTTTGACCCCTCTCTACACGAGCACGCAGAATTTCCCTCCAAGTCGTCTTCGTTCAGTACCTCTCTTTACCTTCCCTTTTTTGCTGATGGGCCCTCCTTTAATCCTGACTTCTCTTGACTTCTTGACAACGACTGTTTACCCACAAACTTGATGATACTTTCCACCT